AGATATGCTCAGGAGAACTGAGTGAAGATGTTTAGGTGCTACCAATAAGTCAGGTAAGATGATGAAAGAAAACTGGCCAGTGGATTTATATGAAAGTCATTGGTAACTTTGACAGTGGCTATGGTTGGGTGGAGTAGTAGAGACCAAAATCTAATTGGATTAATGTTAAAAACTTGTGAGAGGAGAGAAATTGAAGACCCATGAATAAAGGCAACTCAGGGAATTTCCCTATAAAGGGAAGGAGAGACCTTACATGGCAGCCTGGCGGGGGGGAGCGGAAGGGGGTGTGGAGGAGAGGATTTGTTGGTGTGTCTGGTATGGGAGAAATTAGGCAGTGATGGCGAATTTATGACACGCGTGTCAGAGGTGACACGCGAACTCATTTTTTTAGTTGATTTTTCTTTGTTAAATGGCATTTAAATATATAAAATAAATATCAAAAATATAAATCTTTGTTTTACTATGGTTGCAAATGTCAAAAAATTCTATATGTGACACGGCACCAGAGTTAAGTTAGGGTTTTTCAAAATGCGGACACGCCGAGCTCAAAAGGTTCGCCATCACTGGATTAGAGCATGTGTGCATAGTCAAGGGAATGATGAGATTCTCTTCCGACTACTTCTAGTTATTATTTCAGAATAAGGCAAGTTTTGTTGATGTGATTCGTGACCTATTCAAAACCCTTGATAATGAAAGAAAAAAGAGAGAAACATTTGATAATGATGCCCTCCCTCTCTTTGAAACAGCCTTCTTTTGGCTTTTCTCAGATTCTCTCCAATGGCTTTTCGCTGATCATTTCTTCTTTGTCTGCTTTGTGGAATCTTTCCATTCCTTACAGGATGGTGTTGCTTACGTTCCCGCCCTCGAGCTTCTTTCCTTCTAAATCTTCATGCTCTCCTTAAACAATCGATTATTCATCCGTTCAACAAATATTTATTGAGCACCTTCTGTGTAGTAGGCAGGCCTTTAGGTACTCGGGGAACACTGATTACATTATCCTTCTCTTATAGAATCACGGTCAAGAGTCAAGGTTAAAGCTCTTGGCAGTTTTACAGTAAAGAAATCAGCTTTCTTATAATTACTTAGCCCTACATGTTTCCCCCCGCCCCTGCTGATAATTTTACAGAATCCATTTCATCCTTCACTCTGTCTCATTTCAGAAGGTAGGGACTTTACCAGCCTGAGTGTCACTGAGAACAAAAGAAACAAAATCAAACCCTAGCCAATCTGCTGTGGACACACAGCATGAGATAGAATATATCGTCACTTTTTGAAGCTAAAAACGAACAAGAAATAAAAAGAATCCATTATAGTCAAGTGTAAAGTACAGGTTTGTGCTTGACATATTCGTGACACACTTTCTATAAAATAATTTGATTTATAACCTGAAATCTGGCCAATGTGTTTTATGGTTAAGACCATAGTTTAGCCCTAACTGGTTTGGCTCAGTGGATAGAGCATTGGCCTGGGAGCTGGCATAGAGGCTTCATCTCTAAAACAACTCAAAAAAATCAATAATATATATATAGGTAGGTAGATAGATAGATAGATAGATATTTAAAAAGACCGTAGTTTTAAAACTTGCCCTGGCCAGTTTTGCTCAGTGATTAGAGCGTCAGCCCTTGGCCTGAAGGGTTGCAGTTTCCGTCCCAGCCAAGGGCACGTACCTCGGTTGCAGGCTCAATCCCTATCCAGTAGAGGTGCATGCAGGAGGTAACCAGTTGCTGTGTCTCTCTCACATCGATGTTTCTCTCTCTGTCTCTCCCCCTCCCTTCCACTCTCTAAAAACCAAGGGGAAAAATATCCTCAGGTGAGGATTAACAAAACACACACACACGCACACACACACACACACTAAGAACTCAAATAGTGTGTTCATCAGTTATATCTGCCAGAATGCTTGAAGAACAGTAGCTGTTTTATCTCATAGCAAATCATTTCTGTTCTAGCTCCAGGTGTTGTTTCTTCATTTCAAGATTCGGATATAGAGAAGACAGTGGTGATTCCTGGTTACAGCAGCTTCCTGATCACAAGCATTGTAGATGGCAATAATGCGTTAGCGATGGCCACCATGCCTGAAAGAGTTCCCAACAACATGACTTTTGTAAAAGACTCCTGGTTCTTATATGACTTTGGAGAAAGGAATGGACGGGAATGGAAAATATACACAAAACCCTGTAATTATTTGTTTCAGCAAGATGATAATACACTATCCCTCAGTGTCCTGAGATACATTGATCTGGGGAAATCTCAGACCTTAGGAATTAAGGTCATACCTCATAGTAAAGGTAAGTTTATTTTTATTGGGAAACATCAAAAGAAGATGTTTTTGTTTACCCTGAATGTGAAATATATGCTAATATTTTTCTTCTTTTTTAAAACATGTTTTATTGATTTCAGAGATGAAGAAGAGAGGGGGAGAAAGAGAGAGAGAGAGAGAGAGAGAGAGAGAGAGAGAGAGAAAGAGAGAAAGAGAGAGAGAGAAACATCAATGATGAAAGGGAAGAGGGAGAGAGAGATAGAAACCTCAGCATCAATTGGCTGCTTCCTGCATGCCTCCTACTGGGGACCCAGCCTGCAACCTGGGCATGTGTCCTGATGGGGAATTGAACCATGATTTCCTAGTTCATAGGTCAATGCTCACCCACCAAACCATGCCAGCTGGCCGGGATATTTTTCTTTATCTTTGATTTCCAGAATGGCTGGCATTCTACTTATAACAGTATTAGCTTCTAATTATTGAGCATTTACTATGGGTGAGGCTCTGTATTAAATGATTTTTATATATTTTTTTCATTTAATGTTTATAACAACTCTAAAAGGCTATAATCCTCATTTTACAAACGAGGAAATGAGGTTCTGTTAGCAGGCCAAGATTGCATGGGACTTTAGATTTTTTTGCTTACTTCTGAAAATTAAACCTTTTAATTACCTTGGATTTTTATAATTATTTCAAGTATGTATTTAAAGCCAAATAATGGTTTCTAAATAAAATTTTAAACCTTTCCCTGTTTTTTTCAGTCATTTATTTATTTAAAAAATAATAACAATTCCTAACTGGTTTGGCTCAGTGAATAGAGAGCATCGGCCCTTGGACTGAAGGGTCTGGGTCTGATTCCAGTCAAGGGCATGGACCTTGATTGCAGGCTCGATCCCTTGTGTAGGAGGCAACCAAGTGATGTGTCTTTCTCACATCGATGTTTCTCTTTCTCTCCCCCTCTCTTCCACTCTCTCTAAAAATTAATTCTAAAAAATAATGAAATGTTAATGATGATGGAGAAACGGCATACTGGGGGGAAAATAAAACAAAAAAATTAAGTATTAACTGAGCCAGAAAGAGAGGCAGGACAGGGGGAAGGAAGGGAAGGGAAGGGAAGAGAAGAAAAGCGTGTCACCAGAAATGAAGAGGGAACTCAAAGCCAAAAAAGGAGCTAATGTGTGGTTTCCCGCAGGATTTGAGGCTCGGGTATAGGCTATCTAGGCAGAGGGATGATTTTAATTCCCAAACCTTGGCAGAAGATGTGGCTGCCTCCTACTTCGTGTTAGGAAATTGGAACTGAGACTGTTAAGCCATAAAGAGGGGATTAGGAAACCTGTACGTATCGCCACCCAAAGAGGAGCTGGGGAGCTGATCGTTTCCATGGGACTCAGAGTGGAGAAAAAGAACCTTCAGTAAGAGACCCAAACCCCAAGGCTGAGCAACACCAGAGAGTACCCACCAGGTGCAGGAATGTGAATCTGAGAAATGATTATAACCCCAGAGAACCAGCACAAGCTAGGATAAAATCCTTCTTAGGATATTTTCATAAGCCAGGTAATGTGGACTTCCATGGAAAAAAATTAACCTTCACTAAACATGAATGGAGGGAAAGAATTTTAAAGCTATGCAAGAAAATGATCCAGCAGAAGAGAGGACCAATAGGCACAGGAAGTAGAAAATTTTAATCTCCAAGAACTTGTCATAATAGAAAAATTGGAAAGACATTAAAAAATCAGCATACATAAAACTTTTAAAGAGGTAAATGGAGATATATGAACCATAATGACAGGGAAAAAAAACACTTTTCATAGAGGCTTATATGAAAAACAGAACCAAATACAATTTATGTAAATGAAGGCTATAAATGTTTTTTTGGGGGGGGGGGATCTTTATTGTGTTGAGGTATATTCCTTATGTACCTAATTTGTTGAGTTTTTTTTTTATCATGAATGTTGAATTTTGATGAATGCTTTTTCTGCATCTTTTGAGGTGATCAACAATTTTTATTCTTCATTCTGTTAACATGGTAAATCACATTAAAGACCTCGAGTGGCCAAAGCAATATTGAGAAAGAACAAAGCTGGAGGCATCACACTTTCTGATTTCAAACTGTATTACAAAGCTATGTTAATGAAAACATACTGACCTAAAAACAGACAGACCAGTGGGATAGAATAGAGAGCCCAGAGTTAAATCCGTGCATATCTAGTCAGCTAATCTTTGACAAGGGAGCCAAGAATGTACAATAGGGAAATAATCTCTTTATTAAATGGTGTTGCACGTGAATAAAACTGGACCCGTACATCACCCACAAAAATGGACTAGAGACTAAATGTAAGACTTGAAAGCATAACATTCCTAGAAGAAAACTAAGAGGAGAAGCTCTTTGACATTGGTCTTGTTCACGATTTGTTTTAAAATAACACCCAAAGCATAGGCAATAAAAGCAAAAGTAAATATGTGGGATTACATCAAACCAAAAAGCTTCTGCACAAAAAAAAAAAATCAACAGGATGAAAAGGCATCTATGGAATGGGAAAAAGATTTGCAAACGTACCTAATTAGGAGTTAATATCTAAAAAATATACTAAATTCTTATTGAATGACAAAAAAACAACAAATAATTCAATTAAATGGGCAAAGAACCTGAATATAAACATTTCCCCAAAGAAGTCACAAACGGCCAACATGAAAAGGTATTCAACATTGCTAACATCAGAGAAGTACAAACCAAAACCACAATGAGATATTGTCTCACAGCTGTTAGAATGACTATTATCTAAAAGACAAGATAACGAAAGTTGCTGAGGATGGGGAGAGGAATGGGAATGTAACTTGGTTGGGCCACTATGGGAAGCAGTATGTAAGTTCCTCAAAAATTAAAAATAGAACTACCATATGATCCAGTAATCTCTACCCTTCAGTTTCTCTATTGAGTTATCCAACTCAGGGTGACCAGTACTAACCAAATAACCTTTACATGCACTGGAGAACCTGGCTGAGGACTAAGGGGTGGAGAGGAGCAATATTTTTGTGAGAAATTTGGAGACAATACTTACAAAGTTAATGTTTTCTAATAACTATTAAAGTTAACTCTGTATTAACTGTATTCGCAGCCATTATGCAGTCTTGATAATAGATTCTGTATTAGCCAATCATTATTAAATTGATTACAACTTTTATGATTTAACCCCTTCCCCGGCAGAAACGTGTATACTCATTTTCACAAAATGTTCTTTTTCAGTCGTCGATGAGTATACTAAGAAAATATGGTAAAAAAATATGGTTTATAGGAAGACGAGTTACAAACTGTTTTCATAACCAGCATCAAAAATACTATATAGAACCAAAATAAAAAAAATTAGTCTGAAAAAGAAACGTTTTTAACAAAAAAATTGTTGGGGAAGGGGTTAACTAGTGGCCCAGTGCATGAAATTCATGCATTGGGTGGGGGGTGTCCCTCAGCCTGGCCTGCACCCGCTCCAATCTGAGACCCCTTAGGGGATGTCCAACTGCTGATTTAGGGATCAGGCATAAACCGGCAGTCAGACATCCCTCCCACAATCTGGGACTAGTGGCTCCTAACCGCTCACTTGCCTCACTGCTGATTACCCCTAACCACTCTGCCTGCTGGCCTGATTGCCCCAAACTGCCCCCCTTTCTGGCCTGATCATCCCTAACTGCACCCACCCCCCCACTGCCAGTCAGCTCACCCCCAAATGTCCCCCTTGCCGGCCTGATCACCCAGCCTGCACCCTCTCCAATCTGGGACCCCTCAGGGGATGTCCAACTGCCGGTTTAGAGATTGGGCCTAAACTGGCAGTCAGACATCTCTCTCGCAATCTGGGACCACTGGCTCCTAACCGCTTACCTGCCTGCCTGCCTGATTGCTCCTAACCACTCAGCCTGCTGGCCTGCTTGCCCCCAACTGCCTCTGCCTCGGCCCCGCCACCATGGCTTTGTCTGGAAGGACGTCCGGAAGGTCTCCCAGTCTAATTAGCATATCACCCTTTTATTAGTATAGATATTAACCATTAGCTTTGTTTCTACAGGTGCTCATACACTTGAAGTACCACTACTGAAAGCAATCGTTGGAAACCCAAATTTGTTGGATGTTAAAGTTAAAGGCTCTTTTGATAATACTGATAGATACATAATGGAAATTTCTGCAGCTAGCAAAACTTTCCTTCAAGTAAGATTTTCTTTAATTACAGAGAAGTCATTAATTAGAGAAAATGTAGCATGTAAGCTAAGGAAAAGAAGAGTTAGGGTTAGGGTTTAAAAGAAGGCGCTCTGAAAAGACCACCTGAATTAGATCTCATTTCTGGAACTTTCTATGTGAACTTGAGAAAGTTACTTTGCTGTAGTTAAGTTTCCTTGTCTATAAAATAGAGAAGATAATAATAATAATACCTACCTCGTAAGGTTGTTTTGAGAATTAAATGTGATGATTCAAGTAGGGCATCTAAAGAAGCAAATGTTCAATCACTTTGAGCCTACAGTATTTTCCCCTAAAATTGGGAAAGTGTTATATATACACTTTAGAAAATTTGCTCCTATCACTTAACTATGTTTTAATCCTTGAGTCAATAAATTTTTTTCTACATATTCTAAAGTTTTTTTATCATGAAAACATTAACATGTAGACAAAAGTAAAATTTCCATCTATCTTTTGCACTCGAATTAGTCAAGATTTTGCTAGTTTTATCATCCCTGTCTAATTTTTTGTTTAGATTCTGACATTTGTAAACAAATAGCACATATGTCATTTCACTCCTCTATGCTTCAATATACATCTCTAAAAATCTGTGTATTATCTCTCACATAATCACAATGCCATCATCATCCCTAAAACTTTTAAAACTGAAATTTTGTCTTACAACTTGTAAGTCCTATAAAACTTGGTCTATCATCAAATTTTCCCAATTCTCTCAAAATATTTTATAGTTGGTTTGTTTGAATTGAGATCCACATAGTATATAATTACTTAATCTCTCAAGTTTTTTTTTTTTTTAGTTGAAAAGTACTATTCCATTTTCTTCCCCTGCCCCTGAATTTGTGGCAACTGGGTCAGACGTCTTATAGAATGTCCTACATTCTGGCTTTTTCTGTTTGCTTCCTTGTCTCTTATTTAACTTGTGCTTCCCTACCACCCCCAAATTTCCTTTAATGGTATAATTCTGCTTACATCTGGTTCAATGTGTTTGGGCAAAAATTCATTAAAAATACATCAATTTTAATGGCTACAGACTATGGGAATTGAAGCAAAACTACCACTACCAGAGTTTACTACATCACTGGAGTTATTAATATGTCTACATTCTTAAAATTCCAAAAAATATTTTAAATGTCAAATAGAATTTATCAAATTTTGTTGGATGTTTAATATTGTTCCAGGTTCAAATATACTTATTGTGCATAAATGCCTACTAAAAACAGATCTGTGTGAAATACAGTGATTGCTAAGTGAGTAACTTTTTTTCCAAAATGTATGCCAAATCTGAGTTATTTTATTTGTATCATCAAAGCAAATATCCAGGGGCCCCTCAGTGACTGGGGGAAGCCCCATCGATGTGAGTTGGGTGTGACTATGCTGTTACTTCCTGACTCTTGCTCATTTCCAAAAGTTGTCCATATCCAATTAGATTGGAATGTTTTTCTTCCGGGAAAACAATGTTATGTTTTCTGTTATGATTTGTTCTGAAACAGATCTTTTTGTCAAACTTATCACTCTATTTCTGTTGTGTGTGTTTTTTCTTTTTCTATTACTTTCCTATATTCTTTAGTTGGTTTCTGTGTTATTTTGCTAGAGCTACCATAACAAAATACCACAGACTGAGTGGTTTAAACACCACAGATTTATTTTCCCATGGTTCTGGAGGCTAGAAGTCCAAGTTCAAGGTGTCAGCAGGGCTGGTTTCTTCTAAGGCCTCCTCGCCTTTTCCCTGTGTCTTCACATCATCTCTGTGTGTGTCTCTGTTCAAATTTCCTTTTGGTGTAAAGACACCCATCCTATGGAATTAGGACCGATGCTAATGACCTCATTTTAACTCCGTTACTTCTTTCAAGGGCCTGTCTCCAAATGCAGTCACATTCTGAGATGCGAGGGGTTAAGACATCAGCATATGAACTTTGAGTGGGCCTCGTGCAGCCTATAACAGTTCCTTTAAATAACCTTCCGTTCTTTGGATCTTTCCAGGGTTCAACGTCACTGGCACTTATCATCTGGGAAGCCTCGACTGACTGTTTTGTTACAACGTTTATACCAACATTGAAAAGCAGCTGCAGTTATCTCAAGTCTATGCGCCACAAACCTAGCTCCATTATCTCAAGGGGCGACTGGCTCGAAGGATTTTACACAGGCAGTCGGGATTTTAATACGGTCAAAATTTTGCCGGTAAAAAACAAAAAAACACTAGAAAACCCTAAGCCGGTGGTTTTAAGAATACCAGTGATGTGTTACTTCTGTGTGGTTGGCTAGCCATCCAGGCTTAGCGTTTCTTTCTTAAGATGCTCACTCTCCAGTTATTTTTCAGTCCTCCTGTCATTTGAAGGATGTGATTATTATTTATTTCTGAAATGTAAAAACTTTCTGATATAATTACTCTTATTGGTAACTTAGTTTCATCATTATGAACATAATTTATGTATATTAATAGTGGCATAATCTTAGGATTTTGCAAAATATGAAGTTATTTGCCCTTATTTTGACCCATCCTGAGTGTGTGTGTGTGTGTGTGTGTGTGTGTGTGTGATATATATGCTCCATTTCAATGTAGTAACAATTTCAATTTTTGCCTTGTCAGAATCTGTGACTCTTTATTTTTTTATCTTTTTAAAATATAAATGATTACTCTTCTAACTAGCTTACTACTTATAATTTTTGTGGCAAAAAAAGCAAATAACCAAACTTGAAGAATTATTTACCAAATATGTCACTAGGACTTTTTATAAGATGTTTAAACTACAGTGGGTCCTTGACTTACGAGTTTAATTTGTTCTGAGACCGAGCTCGTTAAGGAGCTCGTTAACTCAAATTACTCTATCAACTCAATGCAAAAAATCAGCGGAGAGACAGCTGGTATCTCAAAAAACTCGTTAGTCGGGACACTCGTAAGTCAAGGCCCCACTGTATTTTGCATTGACTTAATGGCCACTGTTTTAGGTACTAAAAAGTTTTTAACTTACTTACAAGGTTCACATTATATTGCCATGGACTAGGGTTGTTGAAATTCCAGAAAATACTGAATTGGGAGTGTAGGGTGAATAGAAATTTACTTTAATACCTGGAACCAAAAGCAAAATATTTGCTTTGAATGCTTTTCTGGAAAGTTAAGATATTTAAATTGAAGACATAGTAAATAATGAGTTATACATTTTCTTTGTTTAATCACCTGCAGGCAAACTACAGGCCTCCATCTAGTATGGGAGTTGCTATACCACTTACAGATAATTTTTATCATGCAGATCCTAGCAAACCCATACCAAGAAATCTATTTCCCAAGTCAAAGGTAAGTAATTTTTTTACAACTAAACTACTATTTATTTGAATTCAAGAAATCATTGAGTAAAATTACAGTTGAACATAGCTACAGGGATTAAATGAAAAGATGCATTTAGTACAATGCTCCATCTGCTCTCGATGGTGATGATGATGATGATGGTAATGATGGTGATGATGGTGATGGTGGTGATAGTGATGATGATGATGATGATGGTAATGATGGTAGTAGAGATGATGGTGA